CTGCGTTGTGCGTGCCTCGGCGGGGCCTGGGAGCTTCCCGGGCCCCATCCGCCTGCAGCTCCAGTGTCCCTCTGTGGGGCTGGAACGTTTTTATGGGGAGGGAGAGAGGGGGTGCTGAAAGCCAGTGGTCCTCCCTTTAGTCCTGTAAGTGCCCCCTTCCCGCCACCCAGAGCTGGAGCCTGGTTCGGGGCTGTGCGGGTGGGAAACACAGACGAGGTTAAGGCAGCCAAGGCTGGGACTTCACATATGGGGCCGGCGGCAGCCCCAGGTGTGGGGCTGGAAGCAGCTGGGACCCACCTGCAGAGCCAGGGGCCGTGTATGACTGGCCTATCTTCTCAGAGCCAGCTCTCCCAGGGATGGGATTTCTGCCAAGGCTGGCACCCCTTTTACAATGACGGGAGTTGCTCCAGGTCAGTGTAGCCATGGGTGGGGGTGGGAAATCTCTCTCTAGCTGTATGCCCTGCTGGCGCTGTCTCCTGGGGCCAAGCAACCAGTCATAGCTGCTGTAGGAAGCAGTCTCCTTCCCTCTCCTTGCACTGCATGAAGAAAAGCTTCCGTGGCGATATTGTTGCAGGCTCTCTGCAAACTCAGGCTACGCTCACGCCATGTTTTCAGGCTTTCTTTGTGCCTCTGAGGGTTAGACAAGTTTGGCGATATTGTCTCAGGCTCTCTGCAAATTCAGGCTACGCTCAAGCCATGTTTTCAGGCTTTCTTTGTGCCTCTGAGGGTTAGACAAGTTTTGCAGAAGGAAAGTTGAGATTCTGGTTTCATCATGTGACTGCAGGCGCTGAGACCTTTGGCAGGGGCTTGCGGTGCCTGGGTCCCCTCAGCTCCTTGATCATTGTAGCTACATGTGGTTGAGCTTCCTCCGGTTTCAGTCTCGTTCTGGTGGCCAGCAGGGAATTCGCACTGCCAGAGGCAGCCCCTGCTGCAGGACACGGTGACTCTGCATGTGCCACCCCAAATTGCATTGGGCGCTTTCGGCTGCTACTCCGTCTGAATACAAACGTTTCCCCCTCACTCCCACCCTCTTCCGGCCAGCTCTGCTTCCAGGCTTGTCTGATTCTCTTCCCCAGGTGCACTGTTCCAAGCTGAATCTCATGTTGTTTAATAATAGTTCTGTTCCTAGGCGACTGGTGCCTGCGGGGCAGGAGATGCGGGCAGGGGGCAGGAGGAGACACCCCCTCTAGCAATTCAAGTTTTTGTGGGGGCCCGGGGAGGAGGCCGTGCAACTAGCGGAAGCTGTTTGCTCGGCTGAGCAGATCTTTGCCAGGTGACTCATCTGCAAGGCCGGGTGTTTGTCTCCGCTTCAGGGGCCGTGGGAGGGACCAGAGCCTCTGGAGGACGAGAGCACGTGGGTGGGACTGCCTGGGCGTGAGCCCTCGGAGAAGGATTATCTTGGCGCGGTTACCAAGGAACATGGCCTTGCGTCGCACGTCCCCTCCACACTGATGTGACCAAATTCATTCCGACCGGCGGTAGGAGAAACCAGAGGGGACCCTGGTCAGAAGTCAGGAAAGGGAAGCATGTGTGTCTAGTGATCTGGAAGAAAAGGGGTGTGGTCCCTTGAGGGGCTCTCTTCAACAGTGAGGTGACGGGGATAAGATTTCAGTGCTGGACAGAAAGGCCAGGAAGACTTTGGAAGCCAGTTTTTTGTTCTATGGTGATTGACACTGAAATGTGCATTTTAGATCAGGCTGGTCTTTGGATGGATTTATTTAAAAAGTCCTGTCTGCCTGACGCTCCAAATATTGAAGGCGAAAGAGGAATACTTAGCTCGTGTATCTGTGCAACCGTTTTCTAGCAATGTGATTGTTATAAGTGTCAGCAACCCGCTAATGAAAAAATGTTAAAGAAAAATTTAAACTAGGGCCCTGTAGGCTAATGTTCTGAGTAAATATTAGTCCCCAAAGCTGTCCTTCGGGGGCTGCAGGGCTTGGGTTAACGCCCCTTCTATGCCAGCCCTTGACTCTCTCCTGCCTCTTCCAGACCCTGCTCCGTCCTCATTACAACGGAAGGAATTGCTGCTGCACCCCCTGGCCCCTGCTGGTGACCCCTCCTCTGCCGCCCGATCCTGCCGTGGCTCCCCAGCCTGGCCCCAATCCTGCAAGGGCAGGCAGAGGTGCCATTCCCACCCCCAGCCCAGGGGCTGCTTTATAATTGTCAGCAACCCGCTAATGAAAAAATGTTAAAGAAAAATTTAAACTAGGGCCCTGTAGGCTAATGTTCTGAGTAAATATTAGTCCCCAAAGCTGTCCTTCGGGGGCTGCAGGGCTTGGGTTAACGCCCCTTCTATGCCAGCCCTTGACTCTCTCCTGCCTCTTCCAGACCCTGCTCCGTCCTCATTACAACGGAGCGGGGGGACCTGGTGTTAGGGGGAGCAGAGCAGGTGGGAGCTTCGGCTTCCGTACGGCTCTAGTGGCTCTGAGGCGGTCCCAGGATTGTGCTAATAGGTCTCTGGCTGGAACGTCACTTTTGTGATGTTCCTCCTAGATCCCCTCCGGAGGAAGACTCACCAGGCACCAGCAGCCGGCTGTGGTAGCCTCCAGGAAGGGTCAAAGCAGGGAGAGCAAATGGGGGGAGGACGGATACTATGGTCCAGGGGAGGCAGAGCCTTCCCTGGCTGTTTCTACCTGCGGATGCTACAAGGGAAGGAAGTCCGGTCCATGCCCTATGAATCAGCCTTGGCAACGGACACAAACAGCCCCTGGCATGCTACCTCTGGGCACCCAAACACGGGTTTCTGCTGGCATGGGGCTCCCTCTAGTGTCTGTGAAACTGGTTCTCCAGCAGTTTAGTGTATAGTCACCAAGGCTACATCTATACTACAGGGTTTTGTGGGCAGAAAGTATGCTAATGACGTGCTCATTAGCATTTGTTACGCTGTCATTAGCATATTCTCTGCCGGAAGCTCTTTGTGCAAGAGGTTTTTTGTGCAAACACAAGCAGTGTAGACGGGTCCATTTTGCACAGAAAACCCCTTTTGCGCAAGATCCTTCTGCCTCAAAAAAGGAGGGAGTTTTTGCACAAAATGGATCTGTCTATACTGCTTTTTGCGCAAAAACCTCTTGCGCAAAATATCTCAGGCAGAGAATATGCTAATGACAGTGCAACACATGCTAATGAGCACTTCGTTAGCATACTCTCTGCCTGCAAAACCCAATAGTGTACTTCTCTAGCACTTTGGTAAAACTTTTGTCTGTTGAGGGTGTGAAAACACCACCCCAAGTGACATAAGTTTCACGGTGTACCTCCTTTTTTGAGGCATAAGGATCTTGCGCAAAAAGAAAACGTCCACACTGCTTGTTTTTGTGCAAAAACCCCTGCACAAAAATGGATTGGAAGAGAGTATGCAAATGAAGCATGAGAAAATGCTATTCCGCGCTTCATTTGCATAGGCTCTTGCGGCTAAACTCATAGGCTACGTCTACACTGGCATGATTTTCCACAAATGCTTTTAACGGAAAAGTTTTTCCGTTATAAGCATTTGCGGAAAAGAGTTTTACCAAAGCACTTTTTGCGGAAAAGCGTCCGTGCCAATCTAGCGCAAAAGCACTTGGTTTTGCGCAAGAAAGCCCCGATCGCCATTTTCGACACTGGCCCTCTTGCGCAAAAGGACTTTTGCCCGAACGGGAGCAGCATAGTATTTCCGCAAGAACACTGACAATCTTACATGAGATAATCAGTGTTTTTGCAGAAATTCAAGCGGCCAGTGTAGACAGCTGGCAAGTTTTTCTGCAAAAGCAGCTCTTTTTGCGGAAAAACCCATAGCCCAAGAGTAAAAGGGAGTTATACAGAAGCGGGGGAAGGAATGACCAGGTAGCTGTTTCTCATACTATCCCAACAAAAAGGGAGCAGCTTCCCCACCTTGTCATTTGCTTCCTCTCCCTTGCAGAGAAATTGAAAGTGGCAACACCCAGCAGTGATTGCTCAAAGCATTCACCGCTTCCGGCCGGTAAGAAAGCCGGTCACCGGGTGTTTCCAGGGGGAGCTCTGATGGAGAACGCTACCGAGCTGCTTTTCTTGGCTCATGACACTTCTGCATTTCTCACACAGGAATGTTTTCCTGCATCACATCTGCTGAGAGGGCAGGGTTGGAGATGGGCTGGGAGATTGGCTGTGGCGGTGCCAGGCGGGCGGCTGCCATTTTGAGTGTGCCACAGGACTGGCAGGGGAGGGCGTTTGCCAGGCAGGACAGCTGAGGGCAAGGGAAATGGGTGTGTGCGCTTGTGCCTGCCATGGCATTGGCTGGGAAGGCAGCAGGCACTCAGGCCTTTAGCATGAGATGGAGGCCATTTGGAAAGATGCGGGGGAAAGGGACAACATAGGCTGATGAAGGGAAAAGAGGGAGGCGAGGACCTTGGCCTGACAGGCTTCTAGCCAACGTGGCTGCGGCCGTGGGGCACCCGGAACAGAAGCGAGCAACGCAACGTAGCATCATCTGTACTGTTATAAAAAGGAGAGGTGACCGTCACCTCGTCTGTCACAGAGAACCTTTGAGAATACGCTGGAAGACTGGAGAAGCTTCTAGAAAATGCCAGAATGAGGGAGAAATGAGGAGTTGAGGGGAACCCCGCCCTGTGGCAGGTGGCGTGGTGGGCTACCTTGGGCGGGGTGCGGCTGGGGCCCTTCCCGTGGGCTGCCATTGGTGGGGGCTTGGGGCGGGGCTCAGCGCCTCCCCAGCAAATGGCCATCATGTGCGGCGGGGGGTTGGCGGCGGCGGTGGTACCATGCAGATCTGTGCACATTGGGGCGGGTGGCTCATGGGCCAGGGCTCCGTGCTGCTCCTGGGGGTGGCCTGTCTGGCAGGTGGGGGCAGCGCCGTGGGGTGGGGGCAGCACTTTGCAGAACATGAAGCAGCTGCTGCCACGGCACAATGACTGAGTAGCACATCGGGCCCCGGGGACAAAGAAGTGGGGAATGCTGGGAGTGATGGGGCTGGCAGCAAGTCCTCCCACCTCATCCTCCCATCTCTGCCACCCCTCCGCCTGCTGTACTGCAGCTGTGAGGCAGGGCCCAGCTAGTAATAATAAATGAGAACACAGCTGTTCTAAAAAGACTTGCACGCCCAGGTTCCCTGTGTAGGATCAGTCTGTCTGGGCTACAGCCTAGGAACCGGCGTGGGTTGTTGCAGGGAGGAAAGTGACGTGGGGGAAGAAAGCGCCCTGGGTGGCGTGGTCATGTTGTTAGGTAAAATCCCATCCGGCTCCTCCGAAAATGAACAGGTTACAGATCCCCTGTTGGGTTCCATCCGCCCCGCCTGCCATTGCTCCTCATTTTAATGTAGGTGTTCTTGGGTCGTTTGCTCTTTCTTTGGCACTGTGTGGTGTCCTAATCATGCCCCCACACAGACAGTCACCCAGCAATGGCCACAAGAAGAGTTTCGTGCCTGCTGGCTGACCACAAGAGCTCCCGGCACATACATACCTCCCCAGAAGGAGGTAAGACCCCGGGTTTCGGCTCAGCTCCAAGTGGCTGCCCGGGACGTGGTGTTGGGCTTCTGGAGAATTATTGTAGCTATTGTGATAAAGCAGAATCCAGGAGCAAATGGACAAAAGCTGCCAGTGCACCAGTTCATAAACAGGAGAGGAGCTAACTGGTCAATCCAGCCCCAATGCATGGGTGGGTATGCAGGCAAGCAGATAGGTCAGTAAAGGTGGCTTGCACAGCATCATGGGATAGCCACTGGAGGAGTAGTGCCCAGAACAACAGACCGGGCTAACTGGCTTTGCAGCAAACTACTTCATATCAAAAGCGGACTGCAGAGTCCTGGGATACATGTGGAGTCGGTGCACCGCCATGAATCGCACCGTGCGTGTGTAAGCATTCTCAAACCGGATTAACTCCACCTAGCCCAGGTTAAACTCCAGGTGTAAACACGCCCTCAGTAGGGGCCTTGTCACTGTCGACTTAGATTCTAAATCGGGCCTGCACAATGCGGAAAGCAGCAAGGGCCGTATTACTCCAAAGAAAACAGCTGCGGGCTGCAAGGGTAGGGTTGGGGGGAGGGGGAGTGACACTTTATTAAGAAGTTTTCAATTATATCAGGCCTGTACAACATACGGCTCGCAATGCCCTTACCCTCTCCCCTCTCCCAGCATCACCCTGTCCCCCCTCCCACTGACACCTCCCCTCCTGCCCTTTTCCTCATTGTCTGCACTTGGCCCCCTGGCATTTGTCTCTCCTCCAGCCTGTCTCTTGGTGCCTTCCCCTTTCTCCTGACTTGCCCCCCTCCCCTCAGCACAATCCCCTTCCCCTCCCTTACCTGGTTTCTGCCTTCCAGGTTTTGGGGCTGCTGGAGTCTTTTTGAATCCGGCGGTCGCCAGCCGTGATGTCATGACACCACATCACGCCAGCGTCCTGGAGTCTGCTGGCATCCTGCCCTCTGGCTCGCACCCTGCCTCCTCGTGCCGGAGCTGCACGCAGGCAGCCCGGCGACGAGAATTGCCGCATTTCCCCCTCCCCGGCAGTGCTCTGCTCCTCCGCCTGGCCGGCAGATCGGATGGGGCCGCGCTGCCTGTAGTCATCACGGGCCGCACAGTGAGCCCTGCGGGCCGCGTGTTGTGCAGGCCTGTTCTAAATTGAAATTACTGGTGGCGGGGAGGGAGCGGTCTCTGTTGATCAGCTTTAGGGGCAAACCCTCCATTGACTGTAGCACGCTGGGAGACGGGGGGTGAGAGTGGCATTGCATAGCCATTGGTTCTACCTGGAAACCTGATTCTCGTGCCGGCCTCTTGGAAGGGGACGTCTGGTGCTCCTCTCCCCGTCTCAGCTCAACAGCCCACCCCATCTCTGATCTGCAGCCCCTGCTCCTCCAAACGGGTGTCCTTGTGGTTTGGCTCAGCTAGGTGGAGTAGGGGCAGGAGGGGAAGCAAGAGGGGCTCTGAACCGGCCTCCGTCTGGAGCGGCCAACCTAGTGTCCCGGGGATACCCCTTGGAAGGAGAGCCCTACGTGCCGGCCTCTCCAAGGCCTCGTCCGACCTTTGTGCCCATCCTCACACTTTACTATAGTACGTGACCATTTCCTTCCTGGGCAGGCTGAGGTGACTGTGGTGCCGATTTGAGCTGTTCCCATTCTGCAGCCCCTCCTGCTGGAGGCAAAGCGGCGGCTTGCATTTGTGCCAGCTCCGTAGGAGCTTGTTCATCGTCCCCTGGTCTGTGATACCCAGGAGCTTCTCCTTCTCTTCTCCCGCGTCTGAGGGGGCCTTCTCCGGGGAGTGGCTGTGCCCCAGGCCCATGTCCTTGTTCGTGGCCTCAAAGAACTGCTGGATGCAGACCTTGGCGAAGGTCTTGGCATGCTCTGTGCAGGTCTCGTCAAACAGCTTGCGCTCAATGTCTATGTAGTGGGACCAGTACTTGCTCTTCAGGAAGGCAGCTTGGGTGAAGCAGGGCCGGAGGGCCCTGACCAGGAAAGCCAGCATGGTCATCAGCAGCACGAAGGACCAGCCCAGAGCCTGCAGGGGAGGGAAAACAAACTAGGAAGACCCAAGGTAAGGCTCAGCCAAAGCCAAGGCACTTTGACTTAGCAGGGTTGTTCAGATGCCACCCGGTCAGGCCCCTCTGTAAGGAAGACGCTGGTATGTTTTGAACATGCTGCCAAGTCCTTGCCTAGCAGGAATTGCTTTATGTCAGTGTTTCTTAAACTTTTTAAGACCGAGGGACACCTAAAATGTCCGGTATTTTCTGATTATTTTTTTTTTTTCCCAGCCAGGAGGTGAAAATCCCGGGTGCTTACCAACTTCCGCAGGGGAGTGGTCTGGCCCCGAACAGGAAGACAAGATGGCAGACAGTTGCCTGCAGCCTGTTAGGGCCAAAAAGTCTCAAAAGCATTTCTTAAAGGGTCCACGCTGGGTTTTTTTATTATTATTTTATTTTATTTTTTTTGCTTAATAACTTTGGTTTTTCCACCCACCCCCTTTTTCTTTTCTCAATAGAATTTTTTCTCCAGTGGGGTTTTTTTGGGGGGGACGGGAAGGGGGAAGGCTATTCAGTATTTTTGGTTAAACCATCTGACAACCCGGGTGCATCTAGAGTACATTCTTTTTTTGAAAGAGGAATGGAAATGAGGGAAACTGGGTGCGTCTAGAGTACATTCTTCTGTTGAAAGAGGAATGGAAATGAGGGAAACTGAAAATGCAAATGAAGCGCAGATTTACAAATCTCGTGCTTCATTTGCATTTTCAGTTTCCCTCATTTCCATTCCTCTTTCAACAGAGGAATGCAAATGAGGGAAATTGAAAATGCAAATGAAGCGCAGATTTACAAATCTCGTGCTTCATTTGCATTTTCAGTTTCCCTCATTTCCATTCCTCTTTCAACAGAGGAATGCAAATGAGGGAAATTGAAAATGCAAATGAAGCGCAGATTTACAAATCTCGTGCTTCATTTGCATTTTCAATTTCCCTCATTTGCATTCCTCTGTTGAAAGAGGAATGTAGTCTAGACACACCCTAAATGGCTACAGAGCCAATGTGAGTGCACGAACTGATTGACACCATGCTCGCCTTCTAATGAGTCCTTTAATTACCAGGCAATGTCCTTTTATGAGGTGTACTACTACTCAGCATTTATCCTGACACTACAGATAAGAACCACAGCAGAGTAGGTAGGCGCTTCCATACTGCTGTAATATGTGTACTACTGCCCCCTGCTGGATAAAATCAGAAAGACACATGTGGGTTATAAGCTCTGTACTGCTAGTAGTTAATGGAGATTCTCCTTTTGCTCTAGTATTAGAAGCCTGTTCTTTGGATAGCAGAAGTTCTACCCCCGGTGTGTGGCATACCAATATAGTAAGAACTGTTAAGTTGGAGGCTGCCGTGAATGTGTTACAGCGTTATCTGCAAATGGATCATATGCCGGGCAGTGGTTTCCTAGCAGAGGAAGAATAAAGGCTCTAAAGAGTTAAGACACTGCCCATAAATAAAATGAAGCAGAGCAACCAGGACAAACCTCACTGACAAAGAAAATCATCTTGCTTAGACTGCAGGCTGGATTTTACTTTGCCCGATGAAAAGTTCAAGGGAATTTGCATCCTTTCGAAACCACGCGGAACAAATAAGCTGAGAGCAACAACCGGAAAGTGTTTTGTTGACATGGCTGGCTTAGCCTTTGGTGATATTTACATTGCAAATGAGGGGACCATTTGTGCATTGGCCACATACCTAGGTGTAGGTTAGAGCGATTTGCACACATAGATGCACCTGCCTTCACTTCTCCAGCAGCCTTCTGTTGCTTCTGCATTGCATGGCAACTACCCTCAATTGCACCAGCATCTAGTCCAATGCCCTGTGGCTGATAATTGCCAGCTATGTCTTTAACACACCTGCTCACATGGTGCCAGTCAATGGGGGGCGTCCTGATGCAGGAGGATCAATAGTGTAATTACAGGCGCTGCCCTCATTCAGACAACTCTCTTTTCTCTAAGCTGTTAGACTCTGTAACACGCAGCCTCCGTGAGCTGCAGATCCGTGTGTGCAACGGGTCTCTGTTCAGAGACCGTCTCTTCTGCAGTGATGCCCCAGGTGCTGGAGGGTGTTTTCCAGGCAGCCTGGAGACCGGGGTTCTGTTAATGGTATTCACCTGCCACAGGGTGGGCATGGGGGTAGGGGGGCTGGGACGCTGGTGGGTGAAGTGCTCTGCGGACCTCAGGTGGAAGGTGCCATAGTGGTGCTAGGAGTGATCATTCAACTCCTATCGAGGTTCCGTTTATAAAGAGTTGAAACAACTGATCGCTGGTTATAGGCAGATGAGTGACGTAAGGAGAATAAAAGTCGCATCGGGGTAACCGTGTTAGTCTGTAACTTTAAAAACAAGGAACCCCATAGCACCTTATTGCCTAACGTATAGTATCATGGGCTTTCGTGGACATAACCCACTTCCTGCTCCTCTGAGGATGTGGGTTTTGCCCATGAAAGCTTATGAAACTACAGGCAGTCCCCGGGTTACGTACAAGATAGGGACTGTAGGTTTGTTCTTAAGTTGAATTTGTATGTAAGTCGGAACTGGTACATATTGTAGGGGAAACTCTAGCCAAACATTTCTCCAGAGCTCAGTTTTATTCTCCCACACCTCACTTCCCTCAGTCCTTTATTCTCAAGCTGAGGTGTCTGCTGAGAAAAGCCGCTCCACCTCTCCCTGGTCTGCTGGGCGGGGGGGACACTAGCTTCGCGTCTCCCTGGTCTGCTGGGGGGAAGCAGCTAGTGCGGGGTTGCCTCACCCCGTTTGTAACTAGGGATCCAATGTAAGTCGGATCCATGTAACCCGGGGACTGCCTGTAATTAATTGAATATGTTTATTTTGAGCAATGTAATTTCAGTCCAGCATAAGTCTGAGAAGTCAATGGCCAGGTAAGCCGGGCTAATAAAAAACTTGTGACTTATTTGAGCCCAGCAATCTAATGACTAGCTCTTTATTAAAACAGCTACTAATCATCTATTAACCCTTTATCAATGGCTGCATTATGACCAAATTATCATGATACCAGCAGCCTAGCAGCTACTTCAGATGTTCCCACTTTGTGCGGGGGGGACCTGAGACCACAACCCAGCCCGTGGGTCCGCATTCCCCAAGCCAGCTTGTGTGGGAGCAATGTCTCCACCAGAAATTGCTGCCCTTCGAAAAACATGTTCCTTTCCTCCATTCACTAAGCAGCTCTTGTTCTCCTTGAGAGTCAGTGTCCTGCAATTTTGCTCTCTGACTGCCATGTCATGTGGTTCTGGGCTGCTCTGATGTAAGAATACTTGCCGTGATAGGATCCCTTAGCAAGAAGAGGCCAAATTTAGCTCTGGGGTAGGCATGCATAACTCTCATTGACTTTAGTGGGAATTGCCCCAAGTATGCCATGGGCTAAACATAGCCCTGGATTTGTAGGGATCACTGGCCTGCCATAGAAATGCAGCCACTTCTGGAGTGGAGCATGGCTGTCCGTTGAATGGTGCAGTGCAATACTTCCCAGAATTGAGGACAGGCAGGGACTGTGCAAGCTGAATCCAACGGATACTTCATTAGGAAGGCACCATCTAAGCACCCACAATGAATTAAGCCACTGAGATTGACAACCCTCGTCTTCCAGAAAATCCTGACTTGGGGACTGGACTTGATGACCTCTTGAGGTCCCTTCCAGTCCTAGTATTCTATGATTCTGTGATCGTTAATGTTTATGATGATCCAGGGCCTCAGATTTACATGCCATCCAAAAGTTGGAACCGGGCTCAGCCCCAGAGAAAGAGCACCCCCTGCTGGAGTACTCACACTACTTCCTGCACCCACCGGGAGTTTCTTCCCACCCTGGTAGTGGCCAAGCTCAAAGAGCCGAGAGCCCGGCTCTTACCTGTGAGATGCAGCGCAGGTACCGCACCGCCACCTCCCTGGCAACCAGCTCCTGCCCGTTGTAGATCTCTTTGCAGGGGATGCGGGCCAGGATTCGCCGCATCTCCTTCTCCGACAGGCCCGTGTAGCTCCTGTTCCCCAGCTTCTCCACGGGCACGGTGGTGCTGAACGCGCACATAAAGCACTTCCCGTCCAGCAGCGTCACGGAGATCCACACCGCCGGCGCGATCATGGCCCGCTGGGCCATGGAGCAGAACATGTAGCGCAGGACGGCCGGGTCCTTCTGCCTCATGCCCGTGGGCCTCCTCCACTCCTCTGCCAGCATGGACACGTTGTTGTTCATCACAAAACCCAGCAGGAACAGGACAAGGGGGGGCGCGAGCAGGATACCCAGGCCGTACGCCAGGTTGTAACTCGGCAGGCAGGGGCAGTTGAAATCGAAGGCTGAGTACATCTGGGCACTGGCCAGGGCCATGATCCCGCAGATGCCGTTCATGAAAGATTCCTGATTGGACTGGAGGAACTGGAAGATCATTCGGAACTTATCCATCTTCACTGGCAGCCTTTACCTCCCTGCTTCCTTGAGCCCAGGCCAAGATCTTGTTCCCCTTTTGCTTTATTCTTTCTCTCTGGGAGTCTTCCCTTCCTTCTGCCAAGACCCACGGCACATCTTCCAGGAGCTCTTGATTTATTCAATCACCTGGAAAAATGCCCCTTTCCTGCCTCCCCAGTGTTTAAAGCAAACAACTCACCATTTTCTTTAGCTTATTGAAGAAACACTATTTGCAAAAATCCTTAATTTCTTTTCCCCTCTTCTAAGAGTGTATTGTCCGCAAGACTTGGCTAGTTCTTGGCTTGGTGAATCTGCTGCCTCTATTCTCAGCATCCTCATTTGGCCAGTTCTGCGCTCATGAAGCCCTTTTATTTGCTGGGTAGTTGTTGTTATCTTGCTATAGTCCAGACAGCAATCTAGGCTCTGGGCAGCAAAGGGAGTTGGCTGAGTTCTGTGAACTTGTTTGCAAATGCTGCAGTGTAGCTGAATGCTCCTCCCACGGACAGCTGGTAATCCGGTGCAAACACCTGACTTACCTCCCTAGGACTATCTCGCACAAGGAGGGGAGGGCACACTGATACAAAAATCAGGGTGGCTAGAACTCTCCTCTCTCTCTCAGGGGAAATGTATTGAATCTAGCAAAACAATTGGAGTGATGCAAAGATTTATCTACTCCCTTGCTCCTTTCACTTCTTTGGGAACTAGCAATGATCCCTCTCTCTATTGTACTCTGGCTGGGGTTGCAAGGTTAAGGGAACTCTAGAGGAGGGGGTGGTAAAGTTGCCCGTGATCCAAAGTGCGATCCATCTGTACGGTGTAGGTCTGCTGTCCCATCCTCCTCTTTGCCCCACAGGGCAACACACACATTTGCAGCCAGGCATACAACGGGACACTTGTTGTATTTGAGATCCTTACAGGGCCGAGCACTTTACAAACACTAGTCCACGAAGACTATGGGTGGATGAGAGTTTGCACGGGAAGTAGCATTATCCCTGGCTTTTTAGGGATGGAGACTGAGTTACAGACGAGAGCGAGACGTTGGCTAAAACCCAGTGGTCAGTCAGGAGCGCTGGGTTCTGTTCCCAGAGTGCTCCAGTTTGGCAGTGTGATCTCCCACAAGACATTTCACTTCACTGTGCCTCCGTTTCCCATGCATCAGCTGAGGATCACCAGCCTCACCCAGCAGGAGAGGGTGCACGAGGGTGCTCCTTTCCCAGCATTCGACACTGGGAACCTCCAACCTCTATACATCCTACTGCCTCTGGCGCTGTTGTCTAGGGAGGGGAAGCTGTCTGGAAATGTAGACTCCATCCCTCACTCCACGGAGGCAGCCCAGAACACCCCCCCCTGCTAAGAACTGAGAGGAAGAGTCTGTCACAGAGACTCCAAGGTTTGTCCATTGGGGCACTATTTGCTAGGGAGGAAAGCAGGAGGGAGCTGAGGTAGGAGGGAAGGAGGCTGTGCTACTAATTCTGTCTCAGAGGAGTAGCCCTGTTAGTCTGTAAGTTTAAAAGCAATGAGTAGTCCTGTGGCACCAGAGGCTATGTCTACACTGCGTCTACACTTCGGGGAACCGGAAGTATCCTGAAATAGCTATTCCGCATCTATTGAAGCATCCCGTTATTTCCAAATAGGCTTTGAAATAATGGGAGGCTTATTCCAACATCCCTGTAACTCTCGTTCCATGAGGGTCAAGGGATATTTCGGAACAGCGCTTTATTTCAAAATGAACTCAAAATAAGCTACGTTGTTTGCATAGCACAATTTGCATAGCTGGTTTCGCGGTTCGGGTGCTGTGTACACACACCCGTAGGCTTAGTCTACACTGCAGGGCTGTGTCTACACTGGCATGAATTTCCGGAACTGCTTAAAATGTGAGATGCAGCGCAGGTACCGCACCGCCACCTCCCTGGCAACCAGCTCCTGCCCGTTGTAGATCTCTTTGCAGGGGATGCGGGCCAGGATTCGCCGCATCTCCTTCTCCGACAGGCCCGTGTAGCTCCTGTTCCCCAGCTTCTCCACGGGCACGGTGGTGCTGAACGCGCACATAAAGCACTTCCCGTCCAGCAGCGTCACGGAGATCCACACCGCCGGCGCGATCATGGCCCGCTGGGCCATGGAGCAGAACATGTAGCGCAGGACGGCCGGGTCCTTCTGCCTCATGCCCGTGGGCCTCCTCCACTCCTCTGCCAGCATGGACACGTTGTTGTTCATCACAAAACCCAGCAGGAACAGGACAAGGGGGGGCGCGAGCAGGATACCCAGGCCGTACGCCAGGTTGTAACTCGGCAGGCAGGGGCAGTTGAAATCGAAGGCTGAGTACATCTGGGCACTGGCCAGGGCCATGATCCCGCAGATGCCGTTCATGAAAGATTCCTGATTGGACTGGAGGAACTGGAAGATCATTCGGAACTTATCCATCTTCACTGGCAGCCTTTACCTCCCTGCTTCCTTGAGCCCAGGCCAAGATCTTGTTCCCCTTTTGCTTTATTCTTTCTCTCTGGGAGTCTTCCCTTCCTTCTGCCAAGACCCACGGCACATCTTCCAGGAGCTCTTGATTTATTCAATCACCTGGAAAAATGCCCCTTTCCTGCCTCCCCAGTGTTTAAAGCAAACAACTCACCATTTTCTTTAGCTTATTGAAGAAACACTATTTGCAAAAATCCTTAATTTCTTTTCCCCTCTTCTAAGAGTGTATTGTCCGCAAGACTTGGCTAGTTCTTGGCTTGGTGAATCTGCTGCCTCTATTCTCAGCATCCTCATTTGGCCAGTTCTGCGCTCATGAAGCCCTTTTATTTGCTGGGTAGTTGTTGTTATCTTGCTATAGTCCAGACAGCAATCTAGGCTCTGGGCAGCAAAGGGAGTTGGCTGAGTTCTGTGAACTTGTTTGCAAATGCTGCAGTGTAGCTGAATGCTCCTCCCACGGACAGCTGGTAATCCGGTGCAAACACCTGACTTACCTCCCTAGGACTATCTCGCACAAGGAGGGGAGGGCACACTGATACAAAAATCAGGGTGGCTAGAACTCTCCTCTCTCTCTCAGGGGAAATGTATTGAATCTAGCAAAACAATTGGAGTGATGCAAAGATTTATCTACTCCCTTGCTCCTTTCACTTCTTTGGGAACTAGCAATGATCCCTCTCTCTATTGTACTCTGGCTGGGGTTGCAAGGTTAAGGGAACTCTAGAGGAGGGGGTGGTAAAGTTGCCCGTGATCCAAAGTGCGATCCATCTGTACGGTGTAGGTCTGCTGTCCCATCCTCCTCTTTGCCCCACAGGGCAACACACACATTTGCAGCCAGGCATACAACGGGACACTTGTTGTATTTGAGATCCTTACAGGGCCGAGCACTTTACAAACACTAGTCCACGAAGACTATGGGTGGATGAGAGTTTGCACGGGAAGTAGCATTATCCCTGGCTTTTTAGGGATGGAGACTGAGTTACAGACGAGAGCGAGACGTTGGCTAAAACCCAGTGGTCAGTCAGGAGCGCTGGGTTCTGTTCCCAGAGTGCTCCAGTTTGGCAGTGTGATCTCCCACAAGACATTTCACTTCACTGTGCCTCCGTTTCCCATGCATCAGCTGAGGATCACCAGCCTCACCCAGCAGGAGAGGGTGCACGAGGGTGCTCCTTTCCCAGCATTCGACACTGGGAACCTCCAACCTCTATACATCCTACTGCCTCTGGCGCTGTTGTCTAGGGAGGGGAAGCTGTCTGGAAATGTAGACTCCATCCCTCACTCCACGGAGGCAGCCCAGAACACCCCCCCTGCTAAGAACTGAGAGGAAGAGTCTGTCACAGAGACTCCAAGGTTTGTCCATTGGGGCACTATTTGCTAGGGAGGAAAGCAGGAGGGAGCTGAGGTAGGAGGGAAGGAGGCTGTGCTACTAATTCTGTCTCAGAGGAGTAGCCCTGTTAGTCTGTAAGTTTAAAAGCAATGAGTAGTCCTGTGGCACCAGAGGCTATGTCTACACTGCGTCTACACTTCGGGGAACCGGAAGTATCCTGAAATAGCTATTCCGCATCTATTGAAGCATCCCGTTATTTCCAAATAGGCTTTGAAATAATGGGAGGCTTATTCCAACATCCCTGTAACTCTCGTTCCATGAGGGTCAAGGGATATTTCGGAACAGCGCTTTATTTCAAAACGAACTCGAAATAAGCTATGTTGTTTGCATAGCACAATTTGCATAGCTGGTTTCGCGGTTCGGGTGCTGTGTACACACACCCGTAGGCTTAGTCTACACTGCAGGGCTGTGTCTACACTGGCATGAATTTCCGGAACTGCTTAAAATGGAATACTATTCCGTTTTCAGTTTTTCCGGAAAAGGAGCGTCTACATTGGCAGGCTGCTTTTCCGGAAAAGCCCTTTTTCCGGAAAAGCCCTTTTTCCGGAAAAGACTACTAGGCTGTCTACACTGGCCCTTTTCCGGAACAGTGTTCCGGAATAAGGACTTATGCCCGAGCGGGAGCAGAATAGTTTTTCCATAATAGCGGCTGATTTTGTACAGTAGAGCATCATTGCTTTTCCGGAAATTCAAGGGCCAGTGTAGACAGCTCGCAGCTTATTCCGGAAAAGCGGCTGATTTTCC